TGAAAAGTGGATTTATTTTGAGAATCCTAAATGCACAAAATCCTGGGTTGATCCAGGTCAACCATCAACATCGACTGCAAGGCCAAATCGCTTCGGAAAGAAGACAATGCTCTGCGTTTGGTGGGATCAGGAAGGTGTGGTATATTATGAGCTTCTAAAACCAGGTGAACCCGTTAATACTGATCACTACTGACAACAAATAATCAATTTGAACCACGCTTTGATCGTGAAACGACCAGAATGGGCCAGAAGACATGGCAAAGTAATTTTGCTTCATGATAATGCACCATCACACACTTCAAAACCAGTTGAAAGACATATTAAAAGATCTTGCCTGGGAAGTATTAACCCACCCGCTGTATTCACCAGACCTTGCTCCTTCAGATTACCACTTGTTCTGATCAATGGCACACGCACTTTCTGAGCAGCACTTCAAAACGTGGAAAATTGGATCTCTGAATGGTTTGCCTCAAAACAAGAAAAGTTATATTGGGATGGTATCCACAAATTACCTGAAAGGTGGGGGAAATGTGTAACTAGTGATGAACATTACTTTGAATAAAGCACTTTTGATGTTTCTCTTGAAATTATTGTGTGTTTTTTATTACAAAATCCACCATTATTAACCAGTACACCTAGTATTTATTTTTTTAGTTTTTGGATAAATACCTAGAAGTGGAATTGCTGGGTCCTTTCTTGCTTCTAGTTACAGCCTTTGTTTTAAAGTCTGTTTTGTTGCCATGGATGGGTGGCTCAGTTAGTTGGAGTATCGTTCCATGCACCAAAAGGTTGCAGGTTCAGTTCCCAGTCAGGGCATATTTCCTAGGTATGCACATACCTAGGTTACGGGGAGTGTATAGAAGGCAATTAATGATCAATGTTTCTCTCTCACATCAATGTTTCTCTCTCCCCCCCCCCTCTTTAAAAATAATCAATAGAAACATATCCTTGGGTGAGGATCAAAAATAAATAAATTTTAAAAAATAAAAATAAAGTCTGTTTTGTCTGGTATAAGTATTGCTACCCCACCTTCCCCCCCCCCTTTCCATTTTCATAAAATATCTTTTTCCATCCCTTTACTTTCAGTCTGTGTGTGTCAAAATATCTTTTTCCATCCCTCTAAGTTTGTGTGTCTTTCAGTCTGAAACAAGTCTCTTGTAGACAACATGTAAGGATTTTGTTTTATTATCCATTCAGCCACCATATGTCTTTTGAATGGAACATTTACTCCATTTGCATCATAGATATGAGTTTTTGCCATGTTATTATTCCTATTTTCTATCTTTCTCCTTCTTCTTAAAGAAGACATTTCTTGTTATACTGGTTTGGTGGTGATGAACTCCTTTAGCTTTTTCTTGTCCCAGAAGCTCTTTATTTGTACTTCAATTCTAAATTATAGTATTGCTGGGTAGAGTAATCTTGGTTGTAGGTCCTTGCTTTTCATCACTTTAAATATTTCTTGCCACTTTCTAATGGCCTGTAAAGTTTCTGTTGAGAAATCAGCCAACAGTCTTATGGACACTCCCTTGTAGATAACTAACTGTCTTTGGCTGCTTTTTAGATTCTCTCTCTATCTTTAACCTTTGGTATTTTAATTATGATGTGTCTTGGTATGGGCCTCTTTGGGTTCATCTTGTTTGGAACTCTTACCGGATTAGGGAAGTTTTCTGATATTATTTTTTCAAGCAAGTCTTCAATTCCTTGCTCTCTTCTCCTTCTGGTATCCCCCTGATGCAAATGTCAGTACACTTAAAGCTGCCCCAGAGGCTCCGTACACTATGCTCTCTCTCTCTCTTTTTAATATATTTTTATTGATTTCAGAGAGGAAGAGGGAGGTAGACAGAGATAGAAATATCAATGATGACAGAGAATCATTGATTGGCTGCCTCTTGCACACCCCCTACTGGGGATCGAGCCTGCAACCCAGGCATATGCCCTTGACTGGAATCGAACCCGGCACCCTTCAATCCCTAGGCTGACGCTCTATTCACTGAGCCAAACCAGCTAGGGCTATGCTCTCTTTTTTTGGATTCTTTCTTTGTGCTGTTCTGATTGGGTATTTTTTGCTTCCTTATATTCCAAATCAGTGATTTGATTCTTGGCTTCATCTACTCTACTATTGATTGATTCCCTTTCAATTATTCTTCATTTTATTTTATTTTTTTATTTTATTTTTTTGACCAGCATTTGAAAAGAATACTTTATTTTTTTTTTGTTTTTTTTTTAAATCTTTATTGTTCAGATTACATTTGTTCCTCTTCCCCCCCCCCTCCCCATAACTCCTCTCCTCCCAGTTCCCGCCCCACCCTCCGCCCTCATTCCCCACCCACTGTCCTCACCCATAGGTGCATGATTTTTGTCCAGTCTCTTCCCGCATCTCCCATTCCCCTTTCCCCCCCAAGAATAGTCAGTCCATTCCCTTTCTATGTCCCTGATTCATTATAATCACCAGTTCATTCTGTACATCAGATTATTTATTCACTTGATTCTTAGATTCACTTGTTGATAGATGCATGTTTGTTGTTCACAATTTGTATCTTTACCTTTTTCTTCTTCCTCCTCTTAAAGGATACCTTTCAGCATTTCGTATAATACTGGTTTAGTGGTGATGAACTCCTTTAGCTTTTCCTTATCTGTGAAGCTCTTTATCTGACCTTCAATTCTGAATGATAGCTTTGCTGGATAAAGTAATCTTGGTTGTAGGTTCTTGCTATTCATCACTTTGAATATTTCTTGCCACTCCCTTCTGGCCTGCAAAGTTTCTGTTGAGAAATCAGCTGACAGTCGTATGGGTATTCCCTTGTAGGTAATTGAGTCTCTTTCTCTTGCTGCTTTTAAGATTCTCTCTTTGTCTTTTGCTCTTGGCATTTTAATTATGATGTGTCTTGGTGTGGTCCTCTTTGGATTCCTTTTGTTTGGGGTTCTCTGCGCTTCCTGGACTTGTAAGTCTATTTCTTTCACCAGGTAGGGGAAGTTTTCTGCCATTATTTCTTCAAATAGGTTTTCAATATCTTGCTCTCTCTCATCTTCTGGCACCCCTATTATTCTGATGTTGGTACGCTTGAAGCTGTCCCAGAGGCTCCTTACACTATCTTCGTATTTTCGGATTCTTTTTTCATTTTGCTTTTCCGGTTGGGTGTTTTTTGCTTCTTCGCATTTCAAATCTTTGACTTGATTCTTGCGCTCCTCTGGTCTGCTATTGGGTGTAATATTCTTTATTTCCGACCGTGTATGCTTAATTTCTAGTTGTTTCTTTATCATAGCATCGAGGGTCTCATTAGTTTTCGTGAGGCTCTCCAAAAGTTTATTGCAAGCCCTCAAAATTGCGTTTTTTAGCTCTATATCCTCCATTTCTGTCATGTTTTTTTGTCTCCGCATTTTTTATGCTTTCTTGGTGCACCCCCTAGTGGTCTTTGTGCGCAGTCTTGTTCTAGTTGAGCCTTGATTGTTGTAGTTAATACTAGAGGGATTTGACCACCAGGCCGACTGGCTGTGTGAATCAGCTGTGTCTGCCGCGGAAAACTTCTGTCCTCTGGGGAGGTGCTAATCTAGCCTTTGCCTGAGGCGATCTGGCAAATGGCTCTGCGCAGGGCTTGGGCGGGGCGGGATCAACAGGGCGGGTGGAGGGAGCAGTTATGGCCACTCTCAGTCCCGTTCCCAGAGGCTCTGCTTCTCAGAACCCCAGGAACTGCTGCAAACCTCGGAGAGAAAGCTGCCCTCACGTTCCAACCGATGCCAGACAATCCCGCGTATCTGGAGCTCAGAGTCTGAGACTCCCCCCTGACCGAAAACGACAACCGCGCTCTCAGCCACCAGCCCGCTTTGCGCGCGCACCTCCGCACCTGAGTTTTTTCCACACTGCGCCTCCTCTGAGCCTCGGTGTGCTGTTATTTTTCCTTCTAGTTGAAGAGTCTCTCCTCAGCCAGCCTTCTTGTGGTTCTGGGTGATGTCCGTTCCGTCTTTTAGTTGTATTTTTGAAGTGGTTGTTTGCGGCAGCAGTCTCCGGTGTTTACCTATGCCGCCATCTTGGTGGAGTCCTCAGTTATTCTTCATTTTAGTTAGTGTGTCTTTTTTTGTTGTTAATCTTCAGCTGAGAATACTTTTTCATTGATTTTTAGAGAGAGTAGAAAGGGCGAGGGGAGACAGAGAGAGCAGAGACACATCGATTGGTTGCCTTCCTTATTCACCCCGATCAGAACTGGGGATCGAACTTGCAAGCCAGGTACATGCCCTTGACCGGGAATCGAACCTGTAACCCTTCAGTGTGTGGGTCAACGCTCTAACCACTGAGAAACACTGGCCAGGACAGTGTGTCCTTCATTTCTGACTGATTCTTTTTATGCTGTTGAAGTTCTCACTAAGTTCATTGGACGTCCTTATAACTAGTGTTTTGAACTCTACGTCTAGTAGATTGCTTGTCTCCATTTTTTTTTTTTTTTTTTTTTAGTTTTTTTACTGGAGTTTTCTGTTCTTTCATTTGGGACATATTTCTTTGTCTCCTCATTTTGACAGTCTCCCTGTGTTTGTTTCTATGTATTAGGTAGAGCTGCTGTGTCTCCCAGGCTTGGTAGAATGGCCTAGTGTTATAAGTGTTCTATGGGATCCAATGGCACAGCCTCCTCAATCACCTAAGCTGGGTCCTCGAGGTGTACCCCCCAGGTGGGCCATGTACACCCTCCTCTTGTAGTTGAGCTTTGATTGCTGTTGGCATATCAATGGGAGGGATTTATTCCCAGGCTGATTGGCTTCCACAACTGGCTGTGACCATTGTGGATGACCTGCTATGCAGCAGTTCACCTCACGGTGAAAGACTCATTTCAGGGGGGCTTTGGTGCCCACTAAGTCTGCCCCTTGCATGTATCACTTGTGGAGGTTGTTGTATGGTGCTTTGGCATGGTCTGAAGCTGTCCAGTGGGTGCACTGGCTCTGTGGCATCTCAGGAAGTGTACTCAAATCTCAGCGGCCTATGTCCTGCACACATGTTTGTAGGTAGGACCTACAAACCTGTCTGAAGATGGATGCTACTTGTGCTGGGACTGGAGGTTCCTGGGAGAATCCAAGCTGAGAGAGGCCAGCTGCTGCTAGTGCCAGTCCTGGGGCCACAGCAAGAGGTATGGCATACGTAGAGGTCAGATGATGCTTGTTTGAGAGATAGTAGGGAAGTCCAAAGCATGAACCAAAATAGGCTGTTTGCATGGAAAAGCCACTGGAAACGGCATGGGTGGGCCCACAATTTAGGTGAGGTGGGGCCTCAGGAAATCAGCAAGGAGGGGCCAACACTGTTAGCCAGGTTGATGGAGACTCAGATATAGTGCCTGCCTGCTGGCTTTGTGGGGGGAGGGCTCACTTCTGTCTGGGAGAAAGCTGCCCCTCCAACCATCACCCTGACACCAGACAATTCAGTCCCTCCCTGTATCTCCTCGTACGACACCTTTCGAGCTGCTGCCCCAGCTTTGGAGTTCAGAGAGTGAGTTCATCAGCAAGTTTGTGTGTGGACTCTTTAAGAGGAACATCTGGCTGGGTAACCAGGAGTCCTCTCTCTCACTCAGCCACAATCCCTGCTGGTTTTCACAGCTGAAGTTATGGGCACCAGAACCCTGTTCTGGGGGGCATAGTGTGGGCCTGGGACCCTCATTCCTCAGGAGGGACCTCCACAGGCAAGATAACCTTTCTGATATTTAACAAACTGGGACCAGTCTGTTCCATGTCTTCACCTTTTTTACCAGTCTTGTAGTGGCATTTTCATCATATCCTTAGTTGTAGGACTTCTGTTCAGCTAGATTTCAGGCAGTTCTGAATGATGGTTGTTCCGTATTTTAGTTGTAATTTTGATGTGATTGCGGGAGGAAGCAAGTACAGAGTTTACCTACACTTCCATCTTGACGAGAAATCTCTCAGACAGATTTTATTAAGCTTTTGCTTGAGCACAAGGGAGGCAGCACAGAGGAAGATCCTTCAAACTGGCTCTGCTTGGCGGCTTTGATAAGCTGGGAACAGAGTGGGCATGTGTGAAAAAACAGGCTTTTTTGAGAAAGGTGGGCTTGTGGAATTTTCCATTTCAGGTTCTGTCTACTTCCTCCTTCTGTCAGGTTGCTTAACAACTATCTTTGTTCCTGGGCTGTGAGGGCCAAGATGTTGAACTGTTCATTACTGCCATCCTAGAAAGGTAGTATAGCGGTCAAACCTTGATCAACTGTGTATGTATTTTAAGCATCTGCACTTAGAAAGGATATAAAATCAGCTCGCTCTGCGTTTTTGAGTAGGGAGTGGAAGGGTGGTGAAATTTTTGCCTCCTGGATTTCCTCTGGCCATCTGGTGTCCTTGGAGCCCTTTGCTGTCTCAGCCATACCATAAGGTTTTTATTTTCTGCTTATGAATGTTTCAGAGACATTCCTTTCAGGGAAGAACTTTCTAACAAATTATAATTTTTTTTTTTAAAGAATGGGCCATCTTACAACGTAGGTAAATATTTCTGTACCTGAAAATTTCAAGAGGGGGTGGATCTTGGAAATGTGGTCTGAAGATTCCTCCCTGCCTGAGGTTAGATAAGTGACCTCAAATCTCAACTGTAAGATCACAGGAATCTTTCCTGACTTCTTTCTGTCCTCTTTATTTGTCCGTGTTGCTTCTTGTTTTTTATAAGTAGTTTGGAATTTCTTATGCCATCAAGATTGGATTGGGGGAGCCAGGCCAGGTAATCTGAATACATTCCTCCACTTCTTACACTGTGATGTTTTGGTCAGGTTAGAGTAATGGTCTTTAAAAAGCAAGAACATGTATTTTATATCAGTAGTACCAAGGGAAACATGCTAGAATAGAACTCAAAAGACTTGTATTTAATTATAGAAGAAACCATAGGCAGCACAATCTCAGACATCTCTCATAGCAATATGTTTATGGCTACATCTCCCAAGGAAACTAAGGAAAAAATAAACAAATGGGACTCATCAAAATAAAAAGCTTCTGCACAGCAAAAGAAACCATCAACAAAATGAAAACGGAGCCCACTATATGGGAGAACATATTTGCCAATGATGTATCTGATAAAGGGTTAATATCCAAGATATATAAAGAACTCATATAACTTAACAAAAGGAAGACAAACAATCCAATTAAAAAGTGGGCAAAGGACCTAAATAGTCACTTCTCCAAAGTGGACATACGGAAGGCCAAGAGACATATGAAACAAATGCTCAAAGGCACTAATCATTTGAGAGATTCAAATTAAAACGACAAAAGGACTTGCATGCATGCATATGAGCATAACCAATGGACACAGACAGTATGAGAGTGAGGGCATGTGCTGGGGGGTGGGAGTGGCCGGGGAGAGGTCAATGGGGGAAAAAGGAAACTCATGTAATACTTTAAACAATAAAGAATTTAAATTTTAAAAAAATTAAAACAATAATGAGGTATCACCTCATACCTGTCAGAAGGATCCCATCAACAAATCAACAAATGACAAGTGCTGGTGAGGATGTGGAGAAAAGGGAACCCTAGTACACTGCTGGTGGGAATGCAGACGGTGCAGCCATTATTGAAAACAATATGGAGTTTCCTCAAAAAATTAAATATGGAACTGCCATTTGAACCAGTAATCCCACTTCTAGGATAAGAATATATATCCTAAGAAACCCAAAACACCAATCAGAAAGAATGTATGCACCCCTATGTTCATAGCAGCACAGTTTACAATAGCTTAAGATCTGGAAATAGCCAAAGTGCCTATCAGTAGATGAATGGATAAAAAAGCTGTGGTACATTTATACCATGGAATACTATGCAGTAGTAAAAAAGAATCTCTCACCCTTTGATACAGCATGGAGGGACCTGGAGCGAATCATGCTAAGTGAAATAAGTCAGTCCGAGAAAGACAAGTACCACATGATTTCACTCATGTGAAATCTAAGTAACAAAATAAACTGATGAGCCCTAGCCAGTTTGGCTCAGTGGATAGAGCCTCGGCCTGTAGACCAAAGGGTCCTGGGTTCAATTCAGGTCAAGGGCATGTATCTTGGTTGCAGACTCCTCCCAGCCCAGGCCCTGGTCAGGGAGGCAACCAATCGTGTTTCTCTCACATCAATGTTTCTCTGTCTCTCTCTCCCACTCTCCCTAAAAATCAATGGAAAAATATTCTTGGGTGAGGATTAACTAACTAACTAACTAAATAAGTAAACTGATGAAGGGAGTGGATCCAGAGACGTGGAAGCATGAAACAGTGAGGAATCTCGGAGAGAAGGCGGGGGTGGGAGGAGGGTAAGTGGAAGGGAGGTAATCAACCAAAGACATTGTATGCATACATGCATAACTCATGGAAACAGACAATAGGGTGATGAAGGCCTGGGGTGAGGGGTGGGGGCAGGCTAGAGGGGGTTAATGGGGGATAAAAGGGGACATATGTAATACTTTCAACTAATTATTTTTAAAAATGAATTTAAAAAGACATATTTAATAGCAGCTCTGCCATTAATTGTATAGTCTCAGACAGTTCCCTGAGCCTCTTGGGATCAGTTTCCTCAACCGTAGCTCTTTCTTCTATGCCAAACTGTTGCCTTGTTTATAACAAAACTAAAGGCCCAGTGCACAAAAATTTGTGCACTTGGGGGCAGGGAGGGGTCTCTCAGCCCAGCCTGTGCCCTCCCTCAGTCTGGGACCCCTCAGGGGATGTCCACCTCCTGGCTTAGGCCCGCTCCCCGGGGGACCGGGCCTAAGCTGGCAGTCAGACATCCCTCTGGCAGCCCGGCAGCCCTTGGGGATGTCCACTTGCCAGCGGGGAGGGCGAGAGAGCCTGCCACCACCGCTGTGCTGGCAGCTGTCAGCCTGGCTTGTGGCTGAGCAGAACTCCCCTTGTGGAGCGCACTGACCACCACCGGGCAGGTCCTGCATTGAGCATCTGCCCCCTGGTGGTCAATGTGTGTCATAGTGACCAGGCATTCCCATTTGTTCTGCTGTTAGGGTAAATTTGCATATTACCCTTTTAATATATAGGATAGAGACCTGGTGCACGGGTGGGGGCCAGCTGGTTTGCCCTGAAGGGTGTCCTGGATCAGGGTGGGGGTCCCACTGGGGTGCCTGGCCAGCCTGGTTGAGGGGCTGAGGGCCGTTTTCAGGCTGGCCACACCCCCTTCAGGGTTGGGGTCCCCACTGGGGTGCCGGGCCAGCCTGGGTGAGGAGCTGATGGCTGTTTGCAGGCTGGTCAAGCCCCCCAGTGGGGACCCTCACCCCATGGGGGT